GCCTTGCCCCTGCATCTCCCCTCCCTACCACACACACACACACACACACACACACACACACACCAGTGTCCCAGCCACACTGCCTTGGACTCACCGGCTCAAGTAGAAGGCGAACAGGTTCTGAGCAATGAGGCCTTGTTTCCACAGGTTGTCGAAGACGGGAGTGGCCCCTCGAAGGGCGAGGCTGGGGTAGCTCAGCCCCAGGATGCCGTCAAAGACAGCGAATTCCATGAAATTGCCAGGCTCCTCCTCTAGGCTCAGGCTGAAGGCCTGGGATAGGTCCACAAGGCCCCCGATCTGCAGGAGGAAGGGTGTTCCTGCCGACAGGGTTGAGAAGGGGGGCTAGGGCCCGATGGGAGTGGAAGTGCGTGAGGAGAGGCTGCTAGCCCCCAGAGAGGCCCCAAGGCCAGGGTGTGCCGTGGGTTGTAGCTGAGACAAAAGACAGGCAAGGACCGGGTTCTGACCCAGTGCTGTCGTGGGTTTAACCAACCTCACACTGTCTGGATTCATTCAGATAGGCTTGTCTTGTCTTTTTCTTTTCTTTCTTTCTATCTTTCTTCCTCTTTCTTTCTTCCTTCCTTCCTTTCTTTCTTTTTTTTTTTCTTTTTTTTTTTTTTTTTGCTATAGGGCACGTGTGGTCACCACAGAGAGATGGAAAGTGAGACTTCACTCCCTAGGGGGGATGACCACTCTCTAATCCCTTTTCCTCCATTCTCTTTTGGGATCTTGGGCACATACTCACACATGCCTGGGGCTTAGGTGGAAAACGGAGATTCTGGACGTGACCGAATAGTCCCCACTTGAGAACAAATGGGTGGAGAGCAGGATAGTCTTTTTTAGTTTTTGCTAGAGGGTATGTGCACTCACCAGAGAGAGAGAGAGAGAGAGAGAGAGTGAGAAAGCATTCCCCATGGGGCATGGTGACACCGCAATCTCTCCTCCTCCATCTCTCCCTCCTCTTGGGATTTTGGGCATGCACACATGTATTGGCATGTTTTTTCAAGCTGCCCTGCTGTGTTTTTCTTAAGCCATCAGGTTCAGGATTCGAACCACGTGGTCAGCCATGTAAGATCCAGCTGCCCTGCCCTAATCCTCAGGACACAAGCCAATCCCAGGATACTTTTTTTTTTTTTGAGAGGTTTTTGTTATAGGGTGCGTGTGCTTGCCAGACAGACATAGAGAGACAGATATACACAAAGTAAAAAATCCCCCCTCAGGGAGAATGGCCATGCCGCAATCCCCTCTCCATTCTCCTCTCAGGATCTTGGGCACACACACACATGCGCCCGGTGTGAGTTTAAGCCACCAGGTCCAGGACTCGAACCGTGGTTGACTACATGGGAGTCCAGTGATGTAGCCATTATGCTGACTGCTGGTCCCTCCAGGATACTTTTTTTTGCAGCACCATGATGTGATGACAGACACAGTGGGCACTTACTGCAAACTGCAAAGGTAGTCTTTTCTGCACCCCTGGGAGTAGTAGCCCCCTAGACCATGTAAGCCACCAAAGCTCTTGTGAAAATCCCCTCGGGAAACTCGTTAGCTAGTGTGTGTGTGTGTGTGTGTGTGTGTGTGTGTGTGTGACTGTGTACTGAGCACTGCGGTGGGCAGCCCATAGTATTTATTAGATTCCCAGAGGTCTCCAAGGCTCCCCAAGACAAGAACTCCCTGGCCAGGCAGGGCTCTCCTGAATCTGTGCCCTTGCTGTCCCTGCCTGTCCCCAGAGCCCCAGACCAGGTCTGTTCTCTCTGAAACACCCCACTCCTGCACGCGTCCTGGGTCACAACCCAGCCTTGTCTCATGCTGGCTCGGTGACCTCGGGCAGAGCATGTGCCCGCTGACTTGGTAAAATATGACACTAGTGCCTGCCACGTGGGCGAGAATGACATAAGTTCTTACGACTCAAGTGCCCGGCACAGCGTGAGAGTAGGACAGTGGAGGATTCTTACCCACCTCTGTCCCTGCTCCCAGCAAAACCAGCCTTGGAGAAAGGAGCTGAGAATCTGTGTCCTTGAGCACCTCCAGCCCACGTCCTCATGACCTGGGCTAGCCCTCCGGGAGCAGGCCGCGTGTCAGCGGGCACAACCTCCCCACGGGCCGACTTTGGGCAGATGGGCACACCCCAGGACCCCACAGCTGGTCCTGAGAGTGGCAGTCGTGCCCAGAGCCAGCCCTCCCTCGGCCTCTGGCTTCCATGTTACCTGAACAGTGTCGTAGGCGAGAAATCCCGATACCTTCCCGGAGCCGTAGACGAGGTTAACGGGCTGGCCGGAGACCAGGAAGGTGGAGGACAGCAGAGGGTTGAAGGTACGGTGCGTGGCTGCAGGCACAGGGGCGGGCGTCCCTCAGGCCGACAGCACCAAGGCTGGGGCAGGGAGGACAGGAGACGGACCCGGGCACTCACCACAGGCCCGGCTGGAGCAGTAGACAGAGGGCACCCACAGGTCAGCAGAGCCCGTGTCAAAGACGACCTTGAACTTCTGAGGGGGCGTCCCGATGCTGATGACGCCGACGTAGGCCAGCTGTGGGGGCCAGGGAAGGCCTGGTTAGGCCAGGCCTGGCCACACTCAGCTGTTCCTGATTTCCAGGGTGCTAGTCTTCATCTGGGTATCTCCATGTCTCCTGAGATCACTCTCCAATGGCACCACCTCGCAGCCTCTGCTCAAGCCAGTGCCTTCATTTGAGACGCCCTCCGATCTCCCCTACCACTCTCCAAATCCTTTTCATACTGCAAGGCAGTTTGGGTACCTTTTCCTCCAGGCAGTCCTTCTAGGCCACCCCAAACCATTGCGCTCTTTCCTTCCTCTAAACTCAAATTGTCTTGAATCCATACCACATGGTTGGCTCTTCTATTTGACATTTGTTTACTTTTGGCATTTGTTACATGTTTTTTCCTGGCTAGGCTGTAAGTTTTCGAAGAAGAGACAAGGCCTTTATTATAGTATCCCACAGTGGAGAGCCTTGGTAACTTATTATTATTATTATTATTATTATTTCAGTTTGCCATAGGGTATGTGCGCTTGCCAGAGAGAGAAACCACCTCCCGGGAGAATGGCCACAACATAAACCCTTCTCCATTCTCCTCTTGGGATCTTGGGCACCCCAGCACACACACCCAGTACGTTTGTCAGGTCACAGGGTCTGGGACTCTCACCACATGGTCTGCCATGTGGTCCCAGTTGCCTTAACCTCCACACCACCCTACTGGCCCTGGGCTCAATAACTTTTTATTGGTGTGATGCTTGGGGCTGAACTTCTCCTACCCATGGTGCTGAACTTGTCATTTGATTAGACATGGCCCACGCTTCAGTGACTCTTTTAGTTAAAGAAGAACAAGTAGGCCCGCCAGTGGCATGGGAGTTAAAGCAACAGGATCCTCATGGCCAACTGTGTGGTTCGAGTTCTAGGCCTAGTGGCCTGAAAAACATGCCGGCACATGTGCGTGCCCAAAATCTCAAGAGGAGGATGGAGGCGAGAAGGGATTATGGTATGGCCATCCTCCCTGGGGGTGCTTTCTCACTTCCCCTCTCTCTCTCTTTCTCTCTTTCTCTCCACTTGGCCATTGCTGGGCCCAATCACCTAGACCAATAACTGAGGGTAGGGTGTTTTCTCTTCTGGAGATGGATCCTGGTCCTCATTGTTTATGTCTGCACAAGCCCCAGCCCTAACTTGCTGGTTCACACCCCCAGTGAGCCCCACAGCCTGGAGGGAGCCCATCCTCCCTCCACACTCACATCCAGGTAGTTCCTCAAGGGCTCGAAAGATACTCCTGGGTCTGGCTGCTTGTGAAGAAACTTGTAGGCCAGGCTGTTAGGATACTTCTCCAGGTAATCTTTCAGCGTGTTGTTTCCCCGGAGGTTTTCGCGCATGGATTTGATCTTCATCAAAGGGATTCTTTCACCAAGCATTAAGAAGAGACACAGCCCGAGACTGCAGGGGGCTCCACACCACGATGTGGTCCCCACACCTTGCATTGCAATTGCATACTGCATTTTCCAAGCCTCCTTATGAACGTTATCTTATTATCCGGCCAGGCTGCCCAACACAATGGGAAGCTCCTGACAATGGACCTAGGTCTGAATCCAGCTTCTATTGTGTAATCTTAGGCAAGTCACGTAACCTTTCTGAGCCTTCAGCGTCCCTATCTATAAAAAAGATGGAATTATGGGCCCAGCGGGTGGCGTGGTGGTTAAGGTGCTGGATACTCCCACATGGCTGACCACGGTTCGAGTCCTGGACGTGGTGGCTTGCTTTCTCACTTTCCTCTATCTCTCTCTTTCTCTGTGTGTCTCTCTCTGGTCAAATTAAAATGAATGAATGAATGAATGAATGAATAAATAATTCTTTAAAAAAATTTTTTTAAAAAGATGGAATGATAACACCCTCTTCGCATAAAATGTTGGGGGTCTTAAATGAGATGGTGGACATAGTCCACCTGCTATGGGAGGCCTCCACAGCGACAGCCATTAGGATTGCTGTCACCGTGTCAATCTCTGTCGATGCAGCCCTGAGAGAGAGGTAGAAGGGGGTCATTACGTCTCTTTACAGGGGAGAAATCTGAACAGCAGGGAACCGGTGATGGGGCTGTTGTTACACAGCTTGTTAGTGGCAAAGCTTGGTCTAGAAGAAGCCCTCCTACTCTCCAGGGTTCCACCAGAAACCAGGGTGGGCAGGAGGGTGACAGTGTGAGAAGGAGCACAGGAAGAGAGCTGACGCCACTTGTCTCATACTTACGTGACCAAGCACTCTGAGAGGGCCACCAGCCCAAGGATCCCAAGCCACTTCATGCTTCCTTCCTGGGTTTAAAGTGCTCCGAGCATGCAGAGACCTTCAGAAGTTGCTCATTAAATATTCTCTGTTTGCCCTATCATCCCCTCAAAGGCCACTAATGGAACTTGATAAGAAATACACACCTTCCCCGTAAGATCTTTCCCCCCGCCAGTGTTCGTGAGAAGGGGACATAGGAAATTCTCAGAATACACAGGTTTCTATTTGTAATCTATTTCTTGGGGCTTGGCTAAGAAAACCAAAACAGAGTTACTTGTCTAACAAAGAGTGGGAAACTCTTGCTATCTTGGAGATAAAGGCACTGTGAAGAAAGTGATAAAAATAAGTGCCGAGATCAGCAGGTGGCATAGTGGTAAAAGCACTGGACTCCTCCATGGCCGACTGCAGTTCAAGTCCTGGACCTGGCAGCTTGAAAAAAATCACATGCACATGTGCCCCAAATCCCGAGAGGAGAATGGAGGAGAAGAAATTGCAGCATGGCACTTCTTTTTTTTTTTTAATAATTATTTTAGTGCGCTTTATTTATTTATTTTAATTTGACCAGAGAAGGGGGGAGAGAGAGAAAGAGAGAGAGAAAGTGAGAAAGTAAACCACCAGGTCTGGGACTCAAACTGCGGTCAGCCATGTGGGAGTCCAGCGCCCTTAACCACCATGCCACCTGCCAGCCCCAGCAGCATGGCCCTTCTCCCTGAGAGCAATTTCTTACTTTCCTTCTTTCTGTCTCACTCTGGTGAGTGTACACACCCTATGGCCAAAAAAAAAAAAAAAAAAAAGAAGAAGAAGAAAGAAGGAAAGAAAAAGACACACCAAGTGCTATACTTACTGTGATCTCGTGCAGTCCTTGGCGACCCCTGAGGGGTGCAGTGCTGTCCGTATTTGAGAGGAGATTGCTAGAAGGAAGAGATGCCAAACTGCAGAGTGCAAGGTTGGAAGGAGCTGCCTGACATCCAGGTGGACCTTGGTGCTGGGGTGGCATAGATTAGGGACATTTACGATGCCAGTCTGCCTTAAAGAGCTAGGCTAGAGCAGTATGACAATCACACACTTTTAATGTTGGAAGACATGTGATGCACACACCTAAGAGACATCGTCTGCGTTCAGAAAACACTTATTGAGGTCCCACTGTGTGCTGGGCACTGTACTAGACCCTGGGAAATCAAAGTCAAGTAGAACACGAGCAGTCCTTGCCTTCAGGGAGGCAGCCATTTGGGCAGTGTTGACAAACCCCAGACCCAGGAAGCAGGGGAAGTGAATAGAGGGCTGATAGGGCACCAAAGGCTCCAGGCCACTCTGTCCCACCACAAGGGGGCAGACTCGACTCTGCTCCAGCCAGTGGTTGCGGTGCTAGAAGATAGTCACATTACCAGGTTGGCCAAGTTTTCCAAGAGAAGTTAGAAGTCTGGATTTTTATGTGAAATCCGTGATTTTTTTTTTTTTTTGAGAGATTTTCGTTTGAGGGCATGTGCGCTCCCCAGAGAAAGACAGAGACAGAGACAGTGAGAGGGAAAGTGAGAAATCACACCCCTGGGGGGATGACCACACCACAATTCCTTCTCTATTCTCTTCCTGGGACTCTGGACATGTACACACATGCTCAGGCATGAGTTTCAAGACACTGGGTCCGGGTCTTGAACCGTGGTCTGCCAAGTGGGAGTCCAGTGACATAACTGCTTCACCATCTGCTGGTCCCAACGAAATCCGTGATCTTTAAGTGTTAGCCACTACTTATTTTTTCCCCCCAAAAAACGTGGTGTGGGCTGGACTGAGGCTGTAGGCTGTGCAGAAATTTATTTTTGGCCTAGAGGTAGGCGTAGAGAGGGGGCTGAGAGTTTCAATTCATGTTGGTTGGATGAGTTAGAGACTGAATACCTCCTAACCATGTTAGTTTCCCTTCTATCTGTAAGGAAAGACCACCAGGGTCAGACAAATCTAGGAACTTAACATTAATGTCTACCTGATGAGCACCTGCTGATTCCCCTGATAGGATCCAGACTTTGAGACATTTTGCCACCAAACCAAACATATGAAGGGATGTTAAAAAGTTCTTGGAGATCAGCAGATGGCATAATGGCTATGTCGCTGGACTCCCATGTAGTCGACCACGATTCAAGTCCTGGACCCGGTGGCTTAAACTCATGCCGGGTGCGTGTGTGTGTGCGTGCGTGCCCATGATCCCAAGAGGAGGATGAAAGAGAAGGGATTGTGGTGTGGCCATCTCCCCTGGGGGGTGATTTCTTGTTTTCTATCTCTTTGTCTCTGCCTTTCCGGGGAGCACACGTGCCCTATCCTCTCAAAAAAAAAATTAAAAGATAAAAATAAGAAATATAAACTTTATTTTGCAGGACCAGACCGGCAGGTGGTGTGGTGGTTAAGGGCGCTAGACTCCCATATGGCTGACCATGGTTTGAGTCCTGGACCTGGTGGCTTACTTTCTCACTTTCCCTTTCTTTCTCTCTCACTCTATCTGTCTCTGGTTAAATTGAAAAATAAGTAAATGATTTAATAAAGTTAAATAGAATAATTATATAAAAATATAAACTTTGTTTTGCAACATAAGCTCCATTGACTTCAAGACACTTTTGTAAGTGATGGTAACAGTCATTTAGGCCACCTCTAAAGAACAGAGGCTCCTGGAGATTGAACCATGTCAATACTGTCTTTGTTTTTAAATGAGCAGGTTCTTCAAAAACTTGACGGAGGGCCAGCTGATAACATAATGGTTACATCACTGGACTCCCACGTGGCTGATCATAGTTCGAATCCCGGACCTGGCAGCTTGAAACTCACACTGGGCACATGTGCATGCGTGCCCAAAATCCTAAGAGGAGAATGGGGGAGAAGGGATTGCAATATGGCCATTCCCCCAGGGGGTGATTTCTTGCTTTCTGTCTCTCTATCTGCACAGTGAGCAAAATTTTCTTTTTTGTTTTTAGAGGTTTTTGCTATAGGGCGCACGCGCGCTCACCAGAAAGACAGAGACAGAGAAAAAGAAAGTGAGAACTCACCCCCTGGGGAGATGGCCATGCCACAATCACTTCTCCTCCATTCTCCTCTCGGGATCTTGGCCACGCACGCACAGGCACCCGATGTGAGTTTAAGCCACTGAGTCTGGGACTTGAACTGCGGTCGACTACATTGGAGTCCAGCGAAATAGCCATTACGCTAACTGCTGGTCCCCCAATAACTTGTTTTAAGAAGGGACAAGATGGTTTAGTGTGTAAGGCACTGGACTCCCAAGTGATTGGCCATGGTTTGAGTCTTGGACCTGGTGGCTTGAAACTCACGCCAGGTGTGTGTACATATGCATGCATGTCCAAAATCCTGACAGAGGAGTGGAGAGTGGAGCAATTTCTTGCTTTCTGTTTCTGTTTCTCTGTCTCTCTGATTAACACATGTGCCCTATAGTAAAAATCTCTCTTAAAAAAAGTAAGGGACGGGACCAGCAGTTGGCATAATGGTTATGTCGCTGGACTCCCACGTAGCTGACCACGGTTTGAGTCCCAGACCCAGTGGCTTAAACTCACGCCGGGTACGTGTGTGTGCGTGCCCAAGATCCCAAGAGGAGAATGAAGGAGAAGGGATTGCAGCGTGGCCATCCCCCCTGGGGAGTGATTTCTCGCTTTCTGTCTCTCTGTCTCTCTCTGTCTGTCTGGTGAGTGCACGCGCCCTATAGCAAAAACCTCTCAAAATAAATAAATAAATAACTAAAAAGGGACAAGATGGAGGCCAGCATGGTGGTTACGGTGCTAGACTCCCACGTGGCTGACCACGGTTTAAGCCTGGACCCAGTAACTTGCACATCACACCAGGTGCATGTGTTTGCTTGCCCAGAATCCTAGAAAAAGAAGAGATTGCAGTGTGGCCGTCCTGGGAGGTGATTTCTCACTTTCCCTCTCACTCTCTCTCTCTCTGTGTCTCTCTCCTGCGAGCACATATACCCTATGGTAAAAATCTTTAAAAATAAAAAAGAAGGGACAAGGTAATGTTGAAGATAATGTTTGCAGCAGCAGATAATCCATACTGGCTTACAAGGGAAAAATGAATCTTTTTTTGGGGGGGAGAGGTTTTTGCTATAGGGTGCGTGTGCTCACCAGAAAGACAGAGACAGAGTGATAGAAAATGAGAAATCACCCCCCAGGGAGGATGGACATACCACAATCCCTTCTCCTCCATTCTCTCGGGATCTTGGGTCATGCATGCACACACAACCGGCGTGCGTTTAAGCCACCAGGTCCGGGACTCAAACTGCGGTCAGCTACATGGGAGTTCAGTGAAATAGCAATTACACTAACTGCTGGTCCCGGAAAAAATGAATCTTGCTCATGCCCTCCGTAAAGAAGACTAATGATTAACATCAGAAGCAGTAGCCAAATCATAGACATCTAAGCTGGGTCCATGTACATAACTCTGATAGAAAAATCAAAACTGAGCAAGCTCTCAGCTCTACTGGGGCCCACACTCTTGCACCCAGCTCAGCTGCAGACAAGAGCAGAGCTTTCCATGGGAATTGTAAAGAAGTGGGACCAAGATCCTGAAGCATTCCTTGGAGGAACTGCAGCCGGAGAAGACATACGGCTTTACCGGTATGATCCAGAAGATGTGGCATAGTCAGAGAAATGGCTACTAAGAGGAGAACGTGGTCTACTCAAAGCAAAAGTGGACCAGTCCAGAGCAAAGGTCGACTGGGCGGTGGTCACTGCGTAGACCAGACACTGCTCTCTAGCGTGCCTCGCTCCGCCTCCTCTATAATCATGTCTGATAAACCCAGTAAGGCTGAGCTGGAGAAATCCAGCAAGCCAAAACTGAAGAGGATAGAAATGCAAGGAAAAATCCACTGCCTTCCAAAGAAACGATCGGCTAGAAGCAAGCCAGGCTATGAAGGAGAGGCATTATATGTCACCCCCCCCACCCGTTCCACCAGCGCTGCCTTCTTACTTTACCTTTGTTAGCTGTTTAACTTATGTTTAACTTAGAAAGAGGTTGATCAAGTTTCAGTGAG